CGTAAGGAACAATGCAAAACATCTCAACATGGCATCAAAATTACACCTGAGACTCTACCTTGATTACAGAGAGAGAGAGAGAGAGAGAGTATTCACCTGAGCACACCTAAAGCTATACCCCCACAGACCTCCCTACACCTCCACAGACCTCCCTACACCTCCACAGACCTCCCTACACCTCCACAGACCTCCCTACACCTCCACAGACCTCCTTACACCCCACAGACCTCCCTACACCTCCACAGACCTCCCTACACCTCCACAGACCTCCCTACACCTCCACAGACCTCCCTACACCTCCACAGACCTCCCTACACCTCCACAGACCTCCTTACACCTCCACAGACCTCCCTACACCTCCACAGACCACGGTAGACCCAGGCTTACTACACTCACTCTCTTTCGTCTACATCTCAACGAAGCCTTAATGGTCTAATTTCACGCCACAATTACTAGCCATTTTCTGTCAGATTACTCCGCCTGAATTCTCTCTCTATCTTTAAAAGTATACCCAGTATCTTTCTTTCATTCTTTCTTTCTTTCTTTCTTTTTGCAGTTCAGTTTTTTGCCTAGGGAGAAGGAGGGAGAATGGTAAGGGGTGGAGAGAGCAAACGGGAGAGAGAGAGGGAGAGAGAAACGAGAGGAAGAGAAAATGGAAAGGAGGGAAAGAGGAGGAGTAAAGAAAAGAAAAGAAGGAAGAAAGACAACGTAGGGGAGGAACAGAAGGAAAGGGAGAGGAGGAAGGGATGGAGAGAAAGAAAATAAGGAAGAGGAAGGATAAAGGAGGGAAGCAGAGACGAAGGGATAGAGAATGAAAGGAATAGAAGACGTAGGAGGAAATAAAATGGAGAGAGGATAAAGCGAAAAAGAGAGGTAGGGAGGGAGGGAGGGAGGGAGGGAGGGAGGGCAGACATAGAGAGAATGGAGAAGGGAGAGAGATAGAGATAGTGAGGAAGAGAGAGAGAGGGGAGGTAGAGAGAGTGAGAGAAAGTGAGTGAGGGAGAACTGAGGCAACCAATATGAGCTGAGTTGACGCTCTCTCATCAATATTGACTCGTGAAATAGTGCTGTGGTAGAGGGTAAGGTTGAGCTGTTATTAGTGTGGTGGTAGTAGTGTTTGTGGTGGTAGTGGTAGTAGTGGTAGTGGTAGTAGTAGTAGTAGTGGTGGTAGTAGTAGTGGTGGTAGTGGTAGTAGTGGTAGTGGTAGTAGTGATAGTAGTGGTGGTAGTGGTAGTAGCAGTGGTGGTAGTAGTAGTGGTGGTAGTGGTAGTAGTAGTGGTGGTAGTGGTGGTAGTAGTAGTGGTGGTAGTAGTAGTGGTGGTAGTGGTGGTAGTAGTAGTAATATTTGTTACAGTAATTAATTTTGTACTCTAATACTATGTGAACAAATTCACTAAAGTCTTTGAGAAGTTTGTAACCAATTTCTTTATTATTTCTCATGTTTTAGTTTACATGAACCAACCAGCCAATAAAACACATTCTTAACATCTACATTTCCGACTAAGATTCAGTTTACGAGCTTTTATAAAATGTGAGACTCATTCTTACATCCTCAGATACGAGGAAATTTCAACTTACGACTCTTGAGAAAAAAAAATACCCACAAAAGTTAAAATTTTAATTCCATTATAAATGCTAATTTCATACGTACTCATTGGAATTTTTATCTCATGTAAATTTCTCTTTTAATGCCATCATGAATGTTTCTCTTGTATAATTAATAAAACAAAAAGAAACTCATTTTGGTTATGTTCGATTTCTTTTTTTTGTGCGTTCATGAATGTTAGTACAGTATATATGATGAGGAAGACGCATTGAACACCTGTTATTTTACACCGTCAGGAAGTTGAAATTCGGTGATGTGCATAACTCTCTCTCTTCTCTCCCTCTCGTGTATTAAATAACCTGAACTGGAATTAATAACCTTTAGGGTAAATAACTTTCACTGTGTAAAATATCCCTTTAAGGAAGGTAACTTTAACGAGATAAATGGTCAGAAAGAGAGAGAGAGGAGGGGGGATAAAGAGAGAGAAAGGGAGAGACAGTAGGAGGGAGAGAGAAAGTCAGACAGAGAGACAGATCAAGAAAGAAAGAGTGTATGTAAATAATAAATAATAATAATAATAATAAACGGTTTATTAATAGAGTTGCGGTGTGTGTGTGTGTGTGTGTGTTTACGTAAGTTATACCCACAAGGCAACATTTTACAAGCAGCTCCTGGAACGAAAATTAAGAGTCGGTCATAAATCTGATAATATACAGCAGACGTGTTCCTCCCCCGGCAGCACCCCCAGCAGAAGTTCCTGAATGACGACTTGCTTACGTGTGTTAAGTCTCGCGAGTAAAGGTGAAGCGGGCTCGAAATCAAGGTTCGAAACTCTGAACACGTTTATGGGAATCTAATTCATTGATTATACTCCACTGAACACGACCAAGTTAGTTTTTTTAAGTCGTTTATTTGTATATGTATAAAGAATGTCTGTATCTGTGTAACGCATGGTCAGAATGTTAAGAGTTGAAAGTTTTGTTTTTGTATGGTTCGATGGTTTGAGCTTCACATGTTTCTGAGCTAATCTAATGTTTACAATTACACCACGGGAAAGACTCAAGAGAGAGTAGGCCGAGCCAAGGGAGTTAGGTGCTGGTGTTTGTACTGCCCTGTGTGGTGTACCCTGAGCCCTGACTGTGCTGCTGAGGAGTCGTGCTGGTGTCTGAAGGTGGTGTGTGTGTTAAGGTTTGCTGTCGTGTTGTGGTTGTGGAGGAGGACACCGCGGCTCCAGACAGTGACGGTAGTTGAGAGGCAGCCCCGCAGCAGCCGGGTCCAAGGTGAGTACCAGACCATTCTCTTGTATTAAGTTTTATTGAGATGTTATTAATGTATTTCACTATTCCAACTGTATCGTTGTATTATTCTGGAAACATCGGCTTACGAGCCTATAGCACGATGCAGGAGTCTCCAAACATAGTTAACCTTTAAAACAAAATTTTGTGTTCGGAAGTATTAACCATCATGGGTGTTATGTTGAATATTAATAAATTGCATAAGCCAGAGTGTTGTGACGGCACCGAGTGTTAGCTCTTTCGAGACCAGACTTGACTAACATTGGCTCAGGTACAGATAGATAAATCCAGGAGCCAGTTCATGCCCAGTACTTGTCAACAGAGACGTGACCGACCTCCCAGTGGCGAAGAGGATAAGACGATGGTGCCTTGCTTAAGCGTTAACCTGCACACAACCCTAAGAGAGGGACCTGTGCAAGGCTACAACTACTGATCAACCTGTAAATGATAGCATGTATAAATCACTTAATGAACAACCGGCAGACATTACTGTCTTGATGCTGACAACAATATTTCATCAAAAACTGACAATAAATGAATTGCATCTCGCTTCTAAGTAGGGACCCGTTACCGAGACTGTTATTTGTAATTAATGGGTAAATGACAAAACATTATATAACAACTACAATACATCAGTTAGTCTTACCACACCTTAACAATGCTCTTAACGTGTCACTTGAGTTAAGTGGGTGGTGATGTAGCGGCGTCACCCTTTATTGTAGGTGGGTGGTGATGTAGTGGAAACTAATCTTCCCTAACCTCTTTAAATGTGGATGATGTAGTGAGTGGCATAGATAAGGGTTACTATAGTGACAATAGAGATAAAGTAATGAAGAACAGTTACTCGAGAGGCTGCACACGTTCACACACTTTACCATAATACTATACTCTTCTCTTTCCCTTTTTCAGATAACCACTGAATTATCATCATCAATCACATTTGTAGTTTTCCTCATTATTCTTAGTTTCACTTATCTATGGTGACATTACACATTATTTGACTTAATCTTTACATGTTGCTCCCTGACAGTGCTTAAAGATAATTACTTGAAATGGAAGAAAATAAAAGAATTCATAAATACTAACTATGTTCATCAGAAATGTCCAATGTTTTAAAATATATAAATGCAAATATTTTCATTTGTGACTCGAGCCCAGAGATAAAAATTCCTTCAAATATTAACGTATTAGTTTTTACATGGAATGAAAATTAATTAAGAAAATTTTAACTAATTTTTTTAGTTTTTCTTTTTAATAATCACAATCCATAGAGTAAACAGTTATTGAAAGATTAGCAACTGTAATCTAATACACTTGTACTGAGGCACACACACATACAGGTCACGTCTTTGTCACACACTGTTGGCAAGTACTGGTCATACACTGGTCATACACTGGTTCCAAAATATATATATGAACCTATGCCAATGTTGGTCAAACGTGGTCTTGAATGAGTTAATTAGGTAAAAAGTTAATCATAAATACTGTATGATACATTAATATAGTAAAACAGGAGACGAATATAAGTACAGGGGAATAGTTAAACCGATCTTACTGTATGTGGAGGATGGACTCGGGATGTAAATAGAAAGTAATAGAGTAATTTAGAAGCAACAGTATCGATAAGCCTGGGAATAATATATATGTATGGGGTAAATAGAATGTATGTAATAAAGCAAAGTGAAAGGGGAAAAAGGGTATTGGGTCAAAGCCAACTGGAGTGTCTCTAATGGGGGTACAGAATGAACGTAGAGGGGATGGCTGGGGAGAGATATAAAATAAAACAAGAATAAGGTGAAACATTCGGGTGAGGAAGAGACAAGATGAGAGAGATGTATAGAGGAGTTGATTAGAAAACATGAAATATGTATAATAACGCATACAACTAGTGAGTAATACTAAGGAAATGTTATCTAGTGAAATGGGCACACGAGATGTATCAGATTTTTATTGCAGAGAGAAGCATAGAATCTAGAGAGGGGGGAAGGTGTTGGAAAGCATGGTAAGTGAGGAAGATTGTGAGGAAGATTCTGCGATGCTCTTGACTCCAGCCACCCTACTGTCATTGTGAGAAAGAGCTTGCAAGAGTGAGGGAAAAAAATTTACATATGCATAATACAGAACTATTGAGATAAAAGGAAAAAAATTAAAAAACTTTGTGAATGCCTCAGTCTTTTATTAAGGAAAAAAAGTGGAAAATTCGCTAGATACATAAAATTAATAAGTTTCTAAAGTGAACAGTTTACATAATCTATCACAAATTCATAAATGCACCAAAATAGCGACTTAATACATACTAACAAGAGATACAGATGTTATTATTAAGTGACCCATTACAAGATATCTCGAGCTCTTAGACAGGACTAAATGCAAACCCTTCTGACTACTGAGTAAACCTGAGTCACAGAAGGTCTTGTATTAGGCAGTGAAAGATTTTGAGCGTATATGAATTGATCTCGTGGGTTTTATTTTCTTTTGTTTCATTATTGATATTTATTGTAGTGTGTCTTTATTTTACTGTGTGAGGTAAATAGTCAGTATTTGTATTGTTATAGTTAAAAGGTATTTGATATATCAGGCGTGGAAAATAGCTGTAAAAATTATGATGAGTGGCGATGATGATGATGACAATAATGATGGTGGTGATATTGATGATAATGACAATGATGAGTACATAAAAATAATAGTTTACGAAAGATAAAACTTTTCTCTTTGTCACGGTGCACTAACACTATGTTCTAAATCACTTTAAATCAAGATAATTAAGTATTTTGTATCAAATAGTAAAATACAAATACCAAAATACAATAACCCTTTATCCTATATATACAGTACTGTGTAAATAGAAAATACAGGTTTGCAGTACTGTATTAGTTTCTCTAAATCCAGTATTTTGGTGATCTTTAATATTTTCACAATTTAAAGATGGATGGAGGCAGGGTGTAAGACCGAGGAAATGGAAGAATGGGATGAAAGGTACATGGGAAGAGAAAGGGGGAGAAGGGAGACATCTAAGAAAGAGCAAATAACTTTTTTTTTTGGAGGCATGTAAAGCAAAAGACAGGCAGATACTGTACTGTACTTGGGCCCTTAAAGTGAGAGAGAACTAAGAATGAGTGGGAGTAAACAGAGAAAGGCTGTATACAGTATTTGTGGGTCTTGACTCCTACCACCGTGCACTGTATTGTGAAAAGCGAGTTAAAAGAATACTGACCTTTTAACTACAAAATTATAAAAAAAACACTTCCTGGGGCACAAACAATGCATATACTGTATTGTAGTACACTGCCTGGTAAGACAAGTTTCTACTTAATGAAAGATCACTGTAACCGCCTTAGTTAAGGACAGTCAGGTGACGGGCAAGTCGAAGGAAATGATTGAAACCCGCGTAAATTGTCTTGGCACAAAACTCAGGGACAGGGTTGTGAGATGGTGTGTTCACTACACTCAATGGGGTTGGACGATACTGTGTGCCAGAGGTGTCCCGAGCCCCTATCAATGGTCATAACAATGAAACGCTTGTTCTATGGCTGTGACGTTTACAAAACATTGGCGAGGTCACAGGTCACCAGGAGTCACAACACCTCTACAAGGGAGGTTGCGGCGTACGTGGTCGTAGGCTGTGAGATTTATGTTTGTTTGGGTAAGGTGACACTCGTAGACGACACATTAGTTGAGGTACTGAGAGGCACTCAGTGCTGAGTGGAGGTGCTGAAGGCAGCAAATGCCATCACTGTGTAGCTGAAGCCAGTGGCGATAACAATTACTTTAGGTATTCAAAGCAGAATCATAACCAAATTTTTGAGGGTGGAAGCAAAAGGATTTACCATTAACCAAATTTAGTTTTACATTTCCCTGTATAACATATCTTTCAGCCTGTAGTCACCACTCTAAAAAAGCATCTTTACATTGCGACTCCTGTTGTCTCGGTAGGGTTGTCAAAATCACTCGTCCGTTGTGTTATATTGTCTCGCACAATATCGTAAAGATACTTATTGAAGTGTGTGTACCTACCTGAGCTGACTGCATATTGTATACTGTAATCAAACACACACATTGGTTCACCTGAAGAGTCTCCATCCCAGTTTATTTCACCTAAAGGTTAGCCACCCTTATGCTATATGAGGGGATGAGGATAAGATAGGTTAAGTTAAGATAGAACAAGATAGATTAGGATCGTTAATCTTTAGGTGAAATAAGCTGGGGTGAAAACTACTCAGGTGATCCTACACTACGTCTCTCTGTATCCCTTCATAAAATAATAAATTCAGGTTAAAAGTTAAAGTATTTTCTTATTCGAGAACATGAACTTGTGAACACTTGTTTGTAAATACTGTAACTCAAGAAATTTAATTAGCATAATATATATAATTTAGACTCACTATATACATCTGTAGACAAACACAAAAAAACACAATTAACTTATTCTTCACATTCGACTCACACGTATTTTCATTCATCAATTCCAATTTTTTTTAAACACACATCATTGGAAAATTGCATCTATGTAATTATCAACTAACATACACTCTTATTTTAACCCCTGAAACTCCCATGACAAAACACATATAGGAGCTGTATTAAATAAGTTTGTGATAAAAGTTTCTCTTGCTCCTTTGATCAATCTGATAAAAGACGTGATTAAAATTGTGAACATTATAACCTCTTTGATCAATGCACTAATAAGAATTTGTGAATATTATATTGTTTGAGTAATACACTAATAAAACCGTATGGATATTACTGTATAACACATTTCATAAATCCATTAACAAAATGATTAAATTTGTGAAGAAGTATTTTGGACCTTTGCTTAATTCACCAACAACTTTATTATATTAATGAAACAAATCTATCTTATTTTTGATCATTTTAATAGCAATGATACCACAGTGAAGCCTCGATGTAATGGACTGCCTTCTTCCACAGTAGCCCATTAGATGGAGGTGTCACGTATAACAGACCTTGATATAATGGATTGTCCTTTCCCACACAGTCCGTTAGATGGTTTCACTGCAATGGTTTGCCAACTCTTCACAGTTCTTCAATCACTTTAACTATATCTCAGAAAATCTTTAAAAAATGACAGTACAGTATAGCCAATATCACCTACATGTTGTCTTATACAGTATATTAACAGATCATTATCCTTGAGAATCACAGTTTACAATACAAAAATCCTGTGAATTTCTCATACAAAACATAAATATATATACAGGGTATACCTAGAAGTGGCCCAATGTGCATTAAGTTCATTAGATTCTGGTGTAAACACTCGCTTCATAAAGTATCTTTACGGAAGTGCTCATCGGATGAATTTCAAAATGAACAAAGTGACTCCAGTGGTCTCGGTAGGAATGTGATTATCCATCTTCCGCTGTGTCATATTGTCTAACATAAAATTGTAAAGATACTTTTTGGAGCGTGAGTACACAAAGGCTACTATATCCTTTTATCTATCAAATTACCGTAGCCAATCCTATGATTTTTTTTTTCACAAACTGCAAATGTAAAATAGTATTACTAAAAAACCAACATGAGTATTGGCAATAATTTCTCTCAGTACTGTATATTGGTCTGTTGATTTCTTACCTATTACCAATAACATTACAGGAACATATAGTAATTCCTGTACCTTATTATAATGAAGACCTCGCATACCGTGTTAACATAATACAGTGGAGTAGTCTTATAAAAAAAAGTTTAATCAATGCATAAAAATCGAATAAGACAACCCTGTAATGTTATTAAATGATAATATGAAAGAAAACAAAATCAAATTTATTGTTCTGAGCACCATATCTTTTTTGAGCCAATACAATACAGTAGTGGGTGTGTGGCTGTATTTTACAACCAGAAATTACATTTGTATGCAGTTAAGCTTTCATATACAGTACAGTATTAGTATAATACAAAAGTATTGAACAGCATTCTCACACCTCTATGAGTACCAACTGTTCATGTTTGTATTCCTACATTTAATGCACTGGTTTTCAAACATGTTGCAGAATAACAAAAACAGATTTTAAAATATTTATACTACATAGTCTCATTTTAAATTCTCCCAAGCACCATAATTAAATCCACAATAGTACTGTAATTACATAGTTTAATCACAATAATGGGTGGTGTAAACTAGTGTTAAATTATAAAAGCACCTCCCCCCAAGGGTGGGGTAATACAGTATGTGGTCCTTGTGTGCTGTTGGCAAGAATGACACCTGAACAATGTGGAAGAACTCTTGTTGTCATCGAAGACTTCAGAAATGTACCTTAGGGTAACGGTATACTGTCAAACAGGGTAAATACTAAACTTGTCTTGGAAAGGTTATTACAGCCACTGACAGGAGTCTTCTTATTTGATGGGCATCAGAATGTGCCAACCCTTCCCACTTCTCTCTCCTTGTTCCAGACTGTTTGGAACAATTCTGGTTCTCCTTAATCTAATGTATTCTCTTTATAGTTGTTTTATCTTCTAGTTTCTCCTATCCTTACAATCCCTAGTGTAAGGTATGCATGAACTTTTTTTATGGTTTATAGTGCTTCCACTTTTCATACACAGCTTAAACAGACTATACTATTAATATTCAATCACAAAAGGTACACCTCTTGTTTAACCTCTACTAATATCCTTACCCAGAATAACATACAAAATCTAAGTATCTCACCCTGGATGTCTGTATGTAAATTGGATGTTCAAAGTCCAGTTTATGAGCAAATAACATAATATCACCATTTAATGTCCTTTAATCAAGGTTTCTTTTATAGACAGTTAATAGATCATCACTGTTTTGTGTTTCCAGCCTAGTCTTTGTTCTACACACACACACACCAACATAACACCTTATTTAGTAATATTTGGAGTAAAGTACAAAGACATTGTAAATTATACAATACTAATACAATAATTAATGCACTTAAAGCAGTTCCCACAATTTGTTGAGTCAAATCCCAGAAGAGACCAGTTAACTTTGCCCAGGGCACTCAGCTCACACCACAGTCTCATAAATAAGGAGATTGGAGTACTAATGAGTGAGCCACAAAGCTTAAAAACACAAGTATTTATCAATTTAAACATTTACTTTGTTATTCACATACAATCAACATATCAGACTTCATTACCCAAAACAAAGAAGTTGGACCATAGATGTATACGTAGATTTTCAAAATAATACGACATTTACCGTTATTTATCTCACGTCATACACAAATACCAATACAGGGGTAAAAATAACAGATGCAACACAAAAGAATTTAACTTACAATGTGGTCTCCAAACAACTGGATCAAAATTAAGTATAACGCAGTACTGTACATTTATCACAATGTAAATTAGGTTGTATAATATTCCAAAAAATAAATAAGTTAATAGGTGATAATATTTTGGATTATTATTTTTACGTAATTAATCTTACAATCCAGTCTACAATGAACCTTTTGGCCAATGGGGATTCAACGTGTGGTAATTCTCACTTCATGTTAATCCATCTTTTTCTTGCGTTGCATTTGTTACCTTACCCACTATATACACACGACTATATTCCTCTTGTACGGGTTATCTAATCATCGTAATACTTGGAAAATCTAAATACATAAATATACGTCTACAGCCCAATCACAACCATCAAAAATTATACTGTAATTATCAAGGTGGAGTCTACGGGCTTTACCACACTACCGAGTAAAGTCGATGTTAAATTATTAGCCGGGGATAATTCAATTAAATTTTCAGCTTCGGCTTACGTGAAACATCAATCGTACTGTAATCCCAGAGTTCAATACAGAGCAAGTATTTGTTTTCCAGGCAGGGATTATTTTGTTCTCGTTACAAGACTACAGGGAGCGGTGCCTTTCTAAACAAACCTTAACTAACGCACTGTGTAAACAACTGAAACTAAAGGGGAATCTACTAACTTAACTAATATATTTATCACAACATACGTATATACATACGTACATATAAACATACATACAAATGCTGAGAAATAATATCATGGAAAGAGATCTAATAAAATTGTGAAACTAATTTACCGTACAAAACTATTTAAATCAGCACAACCACACTTTAGAACCATTCATACACCAAACACCTCACTACACATGTATAAGAAACACTCACTGGCTGACATTCATCTTAAATATACAAAAATATAAAAGGGAAACAACAGTCACTTCCCCCAAGTCTCAAATATAACAATTATTCCACTAAGGTTGACTCAGTCCCCTGCCGTCCTAGAACAAAGTCAAAAGGGGCCATAGCTCTGAAAAATACTGATCAATACACCCGTACACCCACACACTGACTTTGGTCAAGATCCGTCGCTATTTGTTCAAGTTACACGACACATCCACAATGTAGGATAAACACAGACCGACTTCCATCATTTCTACATCTCCCTCTGTGTGAGTAGCAGGAGATAACAAAGAATAACTAATAAACAATGAAACCTCATAGTTATCAAAAAGCCCCAGTAATGACTTTAAGGCACTTCTTAGGTTAACCTGGATATACAACAGTTAATTATTATCAATGTTTGGAACCTCCTAAACTGCCGCAGGCGAATCCACTTGCTGTCTTAGCATTCCTTCATCTCTCACTATATGTGTAGGGAGCACTGTAGGATGTAGGAACTTGTAGTACGCGACCATGCATGTGATACCCAGAAAAAATGAGAAGAAGTGGAACACAACACCTGTAAGTAAAAAAAAATTAGCATGACATCTTATTAAACACAAGATAGTGCTATAGTAATCTATTTATCACCTTTATTTCCTCTCTCTTTTGTGTTGGCTAGGTCATGGGGAGAGCTACTTTATACAGGAAGTTTTATATAATGGAGTGAGTCATGCAAAACAGACACACCGAGTCATTAGGTTCATTCATGTTACCTTTCACATACAGTAAACACCCCATAACTGGTGTATGTACAGAACACTTTATACATAACAGTAACACTTCACAGGCACTTAATCACTGTCAGAAGCTCTATCTGTGACGAGACGCACGTAAGCTGATGCTCACGGAGCCAACACGCGTGGGCCAGCTTGCTGAGTTCCTGTGTGACTCGACTTCTGCCAACTACTACAAAATGTAACAGCTATCCGATGCTTGACCGATTTATTGGGTGCCAAGTTATGGGCTTCTAAGTGTATATGAAACACCTCCACTGTTCACAATCATTCTGCTAATGTGTGTAAAATTCACCCAATTTATACATGTCAATTATATCCACAATGAGATGACCGATGTATGCATTTGCTCCTCCAAGCACAGTGGTTAAATATATTTCACATATACAACCCCTTAACTTGTTTCACCTCGCAGTACATCATTCCACACACAAAGTTAAGCATTCCATTGTATTATTCAGTGTCTACAACTCAAAGGATTTTCTTACCATCTATCCATTCTATTTTAACATTCAATAGCTATAGTATTAATCCACCCCTTGGACATGGTGAATAACCTGTTCCTCTTCTCTATTTCAAAGGCAAAAGCATATAACCACTGAGGTACATACAACTTATAAATTATCCCATCAAATTCCAAGTCTTCTGAGGACCTACCTGGAATGTAGTACCATATAGAAGGGTTAGCATATATGAGCCACAAGACCACCATGGCAATGTTCTCAATGCCGCAGATCGTGTAGAAGGCAATGTACTTTTTTAACGTGGGTTCATCTTTGTCGTTGATGAAGGTGAAAATGTGCACAGCAGCGAACAGGAAACTGAAAAAGTTATCATTACCATTATTTACAGTAATGAAGTGTTTATAAGAACATTAAATGAGATATAAAAAGCTAAACCTGAATTTTTTTGTGAGTGAAGCCAATCAGTAATCATTTATGCTCTTGTTCCACTTATTTATTATGGTTTTAGGATATTTGGTCATTTGTTCAAGTCCAAACCTGACCTACCCTAACACAGCCTAACCTAACCATGGCTTCATCGCCTCCTAACTAAAGACACTATTACCCATATAACACTTCATCCATTAGTCTGGTGTTATCTTCAACTCCTAATACAGTATATGAAACAAAACAGTAACACATATTTCTAATAACTAAATGGGTCATCCCACTGACTATATTCAGCAACATAACTTATCACATTAGGAAATATATATATATACAGTGGGGTATGCTATAACGAACGGATCCTACTACGAATATTCCTATAACGAACGGTTTTACCTATAAAATTGAGAATGCTATAACGAACGAAACTCCTACAACGAACATTATTTATTTATTTATTTATTTTATTTATTTATTTTCACTATATCAGTCTACTTCTATAATAAAAATCATTAAAAATATAAATACTGTAGTAATGTGCATCATTTTTATACTTATCTAATGCAGTACTGTTGTCTGTGGACCAAATAACTAGATTATATATAATTTGCCAGTACCAAACAGTATCTCATCTAACTCCTCAAGACATCACAGGGTTAAGGATTTTTTAACAAAACATACTAAACAATGAGTCACACCTTTACGTACCTACAGGAGTACCTATCACTAATTATGTGAGGCAGATCAAAGGATACATAAACATTAAATGACCGGGAGGAGGTAATACAGGAGGTAATACGGGAGGAGGTAATACGGGAGGAGGTAATACGGGAGGAGGTAACACGGGAGGAGGTAACACGGGAGGAGGTAACACGGGAGGAGGTAACACGGGAGGAGGTAACACGGGAGGAGGTAATAATGAGAATGGCATGAGAAGAATGTAACAAGCAACAACAAAGAGAGAATAAGATGAACATTAGTTAATAAGAAGGAAAGTTGTAAATTATGTTGAGATTTAATGTGTGATGAACTGATCTTTATACGTACCTGAGAAGCCATTCTCCTAATAACCGTGGGCAGGTATCACTGAATGACCTGCGAGCCATAAACCAGATGACCATCAGGAACCAGTGAGCTGCACACACTGCCAGCAGATACAATCGAAACCGAGAGGCGAAGAGAACCATAGCAGAGACCCGAGCACCTGTCAAGATCAATACACTCCTTACCATAACAAATGAAGACACGTCCTTACTGACTGTATCACTTGGGATTTTTTGTGCTCTAAAATCAATGACAAAACTAATTTCAAATCTTGTACAGTATAGATAAAATGTATGATACTATTTCATCCCATCAAATAAATAGACTAGGTATCTCTACAGGGGGATGGGTATTAAGCCTAAAAGAATAGACAATGATGGGTCATTTTATTTGACCACTGGTATGGTTGTACAGTATACACCTGTACAGTTGTCTTGTGTTGTATGCATCTGATTTTAAATACATAAAATTTAAAAGTAATTAACATAATAGCATCATTATTTTACTGTAGGAGAAACTTAAAATACTTTTGTTGTATTACTTGAATTATTGCTATTACTCTTCCAATCACCTTAACTACTCATCCTTATTTTGTATTTCAGATTTCCTTTTGTGGCTTTTAGTTCTTATACAAATACTATCAAAAGTGGACGTTTACATTGACACTCCACACTCCCTTTCCTTCTATCACCACCATTTCCATTCAGCCCTGCTTGAGAAAAATTCCTTCAGGCACTAATACCCAGCTTAATAATTTAAGGTCAGCCCCCAAGACTATTGTACTTATCACGTATCCTTAGCTGTGAGATTATGGCTACATTAATATAATTACAATAATATAATTACTTGTACTAATTATTAATAAACCGTACTGGAAAGACGATTTGGAATTTAAATAAGTTTACCTAAGCTGAAGATGTGCCACAGAAAAAGAACAACAGTTCCAAGACAAGAAATGTTGTTTTTTTGATGGTCGGTAAAGCGAATTGATCGTGCATGCGCTGTCACACCCCAGGCCAAGCTCAACAGTGATGTAACACACCCCAGGGACAATAAAATCTCTGAAAAAACAAAACAATGTTGTACTGTATATTTATATTGGGACATATTGCCTAAAAGTAGTACTGTACTCACTTGGAAATCTGATCACCTCAATAAGCATCATCAAAAGCTAACATACATTACCTGAGGCCTGTTCTCAAGTCCATTTGCTCAAAGTTCAATTTGACACTTGTAGATACTGAACATACCAGTACAGTATAATGAAAAAAAATATATAAAGGATGCCAAATACAGTTACAGAATACTCCAAAAATAAATACTGCACATTACAATGATCTTACCAGGTTTTAACAGTATTTTGATGTATCAATAGTCAGCTGTATAATTCTGGATGTTTTTTTTTTATTCAACAAGAGAAGAGGTAACATATTTCTAAGCAATTTAAGTATGACAATTTTTTTTTTTAACATTGGTCATTGTTTCTTCACATCCACACTATAATAAAACAGTACATGGTTCATGGAAATTGAAAATGGTAAAACTGTACAGGAAAACCGAGTTTCTTGCATGTAGGCTAATACTGACCCCAGGTTCTACCATATTTCTCAGAATCTGGCTGTTGTGTCAGGATATATAGCTGGAGCACCAACTGCGGCGCCGCCTCCATAAAGCACTCAAAGAGGCGGAGTAAAACAGCATCTCCCTCCTCGTACAACATCTTGCTGTAGTATTCCTTCTGCATCTCCCTGTTGCCCCTTCTCCCAATACTCCGGCTGACTACTCCATACATAAGTGAATCCACATACCTGTCACAAAAAGAAAAGGCAGCAACATTTTTTATGCTTAAACCTTTTCCTATGGGGAAGGCACTTTTAATATTTCATTTGGCCCACGCCAGGCAATTATATTCAGCAGAGAGGAGACCCCACACACAAGTGGTTCGTGAGTGCAAAACAAAATTAACATTCAAGCGGGGATCTAACAGACAGACTACCCACTCAGGCCAGACTTTTAAAGTGCAGTATCAAGCAAATCTGGTACCAAGAAGGATATTAAAATTCACTATGTGATGCATCATTACACTGCAGTGTCTTGTTAAACTTGTGTTCTAGTACTGCATCATTTGTTACTGTAAAATTGGTTCTCATTATGTCTAAAAATATTGTTTACTTTAATCATTAAATTGACATCTAGAGTCAAACACTATGTATTGAAGATACCTGTGACTGACATTAAACAGGTACAGTTTATATGGCTTCATCTGTTAAAACTAATATACTACTGCACTCTCAAATACACTATTGTACACCATCATCTGTTCCAAGACTGGAAGTCATACCTAAGAAGAGGTCCAAGTTGAAAGATTAACATAACACTGCGCACAACCCAGCGATTCACTGAAGCCTTTGGTGTGTTTTCGTTGGCAATATCTTTAATATACCTGTAAAAAATTACTTAATATAATACCTGTAAGAGCTAAATTATATGACATTTTACTCACATTAAACACAATGAACAATAAAACACGTACAGATTTTGCAGTGTCATTCCACTACAGTGTCTTGTATACTTATTTAACACCGTATCAGAGCTGCAGTGAATGAACTAGTGTAGGAAAGGGTTACTGTATTATATAAAAACTATTTCAAGAAACATTACTGTGATTGTGTACTCCCATTATTTTTTTTTTTAATAATTTTTGTTAATCTGGATGTTATCATTCTAAAATTAACTTAGATGTTCTCTATTTGGAAGCTGAATATTGCTAGGTATAATCTAGTCATCAAATATTACATTTAACCAGAAGGTTCTACTATGTTTACAGTAAGTAATTTATATACTACTGTACACTATATATACTGTACTATGTAATATGACAGACAAACAACTATACAGTGAAACTTCTATTTAATGGACTATATAGAGAGGTAAATTCCATTATATCGAGGGTCCATTATATGTGACATTTCCATCTAATAGATTATATGGATAGAGAAGTCTGTTACATGGAGGTTTCTCTGTATAGTATAACAAAATCCACAATAAACAGTTACCAGCTGAGTGACACAAAAGTTACAACTAATGATGGAACACTTAGAAAAAGCACAGTAAGTGTAAACCAGATGACGTCTTTGTTCCTCCAGTGGGTGTGTGCAGTCAGGATGTCAAAGCCCTGTAAGTGAAAAAAAAGTTAAGGTATATAAGTACAGTACTTTAAAAGATAACTTATAGTATACTGCATATTAGAATAACTAATTTACTTCAATATCGTAAAAATTGGAGTTCTAGAATATACAAGTATTTTATCAAGAAAGGTATATACACTTTCTATAATAGCTACTCAGTTGGTAGGTTGACCCCAGTGTTAAATTAAGTGATGATTATTGTCAGCACAGTACATAGTCAGATTGCATACAATATGAAGGAAGAAAATAAGGAAAATATTATACAGAGACTAGAATAGAGAGGATCTGGGCCAGTAAGGGACAATAAGTTGGTCTTTAATCCATTAAGGAGTCGTGTCACTCTTAGGTGTATAGTTTATTATGTCTAATGCCAGACGGTTTTATTCAGCTAAGGGAAACTCCTGCCACTCCATGGGTTAAGGAACGCTGACAAAGTGTACGAGAAAAACCACATGACAGAATAGCTCCACTGAACGTAGTCATCAAACAACAAGGTGTTAAAGCAAATTTTGTATGTGATTTGGTCCAGGGCGGCGTTTCATACTTAAAGAGCATCTCAACACAGCCTCGAGCACTTGTTAACGACCAGAGACCAATGATTTATGGCAAATAGGATAAACCAGCTAAATCTACCTTACCTGAACTAATTTAACCTAACCTAATAAAAAAACACTTTCCTTAGATGGAAGTGCATTTTAGGTTAGGTTAGGTAAATTACGTTCATTTGACTGTTTAGTGTTAGGTCACTCGCTGAGAAATGTCAACATTTTAACGATATACATGGCGTCCACATGTATTGACTGAATAAAAACTTGAGAACTAAATGTGTAAATTTTGGTAATATTATCATTTCGGTTATTCAGCGAATTTTAGGGGGGGTCTGGGGAGGAGGTGAAGCCTCATGGTTAGGTTAGATATAGGTTAAGTTAGGATGATTAGGTTAGGTTACATTAAGTTAGGTTAGGTAAGGTTGGTTTGGTTAGGTTAGGTTAGATTGGTTTGGATATTTAAATACCATGTACTGTACAGGGATGACCGAAACTATAATGTTACTGATATTTGCAATTCCTCCAGCCTATATACCGGTATTTAAAAGTCAATAAACAAATTTTCTTCTATATATTTTGTCCCTAAAGTTACTCCATCTCACAGGACCCCGATATAAATTATTACCTAAAGCAACCTGCCTCTAACATTAACTCTTCCAAGATTAATCACAAACACACAACATTATAACAGTTAAGACAAACCACATAACTGTTCATGAGGCGTGATAGTAAAGCTCCAGTAACCATGATAGTAATGTTCTGCTTCAGTGACTAGTATCATCACTTCCGGGGTGTAACAACCTGTCAACTCACCCAGTCCAGGAAGTATGTGACTATTCCAACCACTACAACTACTATATCTCTCCGTCGATATTCATAGTTGTTAGGAGGATAGTCTACTTCATCTATGTTATTTGATAAGTTGTCATTCTCGTAAGGTCTCTCGTCATCACTGTCCGGGCAGGTGAGGCCGTCCAACATTTTGTAAACAATGTGACGTCATAACTAGCTACCGGCGATTCCTATATCATAATAATATAACAAAAAAAATGTTTATATATATACCATTGATCATATTATTTATAAAATTTTAGTATTCGTAAAATTTGTTTTATTTAATTATATTTATTAATTGCTTTATTCAATTACAATTAGATTATATTTGTATTTATGTCACTGAATCGTGGTAACCATGACAACGGAAGTATAAACAAATTATGTTCCTAGTGTTGACATGATCGAGGGATGTGCAGCGAGTATTACGATTATACTTTAAGAAAATTACTATTTATTTCAATCATCGACGCCAACACAGGAGTGAATAAAGAAAAAGTTAACAGCATCTGCAAAATGAACAAGGACTTAGACAGAAAACTTGAAGACCTTATGAAAAAGAGGAAGGAACTGTAAGGTGCCTTAACAATTTATTTCTTTAGAACAAATTTTAATATTTTTGTAATGAGTACATCAAGACATGATTACGGTAATAATTTAGGTTTTCTAACAAAGTTTACTTCCATACCAAGGCGCACTGTTCACAGCTCATACTGTCTACATACTTGTCTTCACATTAGCAATATGACTTCTCTCATAAAACTTGTACGTTAGCTATGACTCATTATCCACATATATTGTAGGTTCAGATAATTAACAAAAGGGAAGGGCATCAGTAAGCATCCGCAAGCTTTTACCATACACTAACGTAGACTTTTATAACTTTGGACAGATCATCAAAACGCGAGGCCATGTGGAGAGCCCACCAGGAGGGGCAGGAGGGTGGAGAGATCTTCCTCAAAGGGGACATATCCTGGGCTGCGACCCGTAACACTAACCTCGTTCAAGTGAGTTTTACGCGCTGTCCATCCATCTATACAACCACCCATCCACCCTCTCTCTCTCTCTCTCTCTCTCTCTACAGTCTCTTTTATATATGTTTTCATTTCAAATTAGTGTTTTATTATCGATGACAGCAAATTATTTAAAGGATCATCAACAGAAACAGCTGATGTACTGTAAATAAACACTCGACGCACACCCTGTAAATTTTCAACATCAGTTTGTCGTTGTCTCATGTTAGAATTGAACTTAGAATCTCCGTTTTGACAAGTAAAGATTTTATTTCACGGTGTTTGTTAATTAAGCTTATGTTTTTGTAATAAGATAATTTTCCGATTCTGATTAAACCCTCACCAGCAGTATTCCTGACTTATTTGTTTAGATTCTGGTGTGAAAAAATGTATATATTCTTGTAATTCCTTTTGTTAATGATAACGCCACATAGAAGTATGTCATCTAATTATAGGTGTGTCTATTAAAGATCGAATAGCAAGTAAGAACAGCTGATATCATGTAAACACAATCAAATGTCAACAAACTGTACAAAACACGTACTTTTTTGTTTCACAGGAGGTCCAACAAGAGATGGCCAGACTTCGTACTCTGCAATCATCGCCTCTCCTCTCCAGAGTCCATAGTTTACGTGACGAGTACCTGGATATGTGACTGAGTACCTGGTGGCCTTGAGTCCTTAATCACCATTACCTAACCTTTTTAGTGTGTGTGTGTGTGTGTGTGTGATTTCTATATGCATTTGTTAATCTACGAGAAAAAAAAATATTTAAAAACTTATTAATAAACATAAAAACTAAGGCATTTTCTCATATGATCCTAATTCTTGCGTCTCGGCTTTTCATCAGCAACAAAAAGTAATTTTATCTAAGTCAGTAATTTTTCCACTGAATGACCCACAGAGGTGTGTCTTAATGTCTCTTACTAAACCTAACCATAAACTAATCTAACCTACCTGTTATTGAATTTTTTACACTAGATATTAAAAGGTGAGATGAGGTGAAGAGAGGAGGTGAGGTGAGGAGGTGAGGTGAGGTGAAGTGAGGTGAGGTGAAGTGAGGAGGAGAGGAGGTGAGGTGAGGTGAAAACTATACAGAAACTATTCGGATATATACTGTCTCTTGATGTATTAAAGTGAAAATACTAACTTACGATTTATTGAGGGTTTAAAGGCAGGTAATTAGTCATGTGTGTATTTAAATATGTATTGTTGCCGTTGAAGTTTATGACAAGTTAGATGAACCTTTATCATAATTAATAGTCTTTTAAAAGGTCAACACTTAACCTTTGTAATCACATTCTCTTGTAATTAACCTTTGATTGTCGGTATAAATAAATTTCAGGTTTAGACTTATTTTAAAAGTGTGTGTTTGTGTTTGGTTAGGTTAAGTTAGGTTAAGTTTAGTTAAGATATTAAAATTAGAATTTTGTATTCCAATCTAAACAAATTAAAATATCGCCCCCCCCTCTCCTCCATAATTAAAATACCCGACAGTAGTTCATAGAGCAATTAAACAATACGGCCGCCAAAAAAAGCCAAGAATAATTACAGTAATTAATGTAAACTATCCGACATTACGACCCACCAACCGATACATCATAAATAAGTAACAAAAATACCCCGACTTGGCAATCCTGTGTTTATCATTTAACGGGGGGAGGAGCCACGGGGAGGAGCCACGGGGAGGAGCCAGTGTAGAGACCACGTCCAAAGCATCTCCAGACGCCACGCCCTCATCTCCGAACACATACACACGCACAGACACGCCTCTTTCTGTTCATTATCGTCCTAACCTGACACAACACACAGACACGCCTCCTTCTGTTCATTATCGTCCTAACCTGATACAGAAGCCCCTGAGTAGTTGGTGGCCCTGTTGTGTGAGGAGGATGAGGGTAGGTCCTGATGGTGTGTTGCTACTGCTGGTGGTGGTCACTCAGTCCTCCTCCGTCGTCATGTTCTCTGACCTACAACAAGAGACTCCTCCTGACCACATCCCTGATAACACAACCCTCTCTATCTATCATAACCTTGACCACATCCCTGATAATACAACCCTACCCATCTACCACAACCTTGACCACATCCCTGATAATACAACCCTCCCCATCTACCACAACCTTCATCCAGAGGTCCTCCCCACTCCTCCCCACAACAAATTCATCTCTTCCCTCACCTATCATAACCCTAAACAGGATTTTCCCCACAAGTCTAACCACAACAATAACCATCCATCCTCCACCACACATGAACACACAGAGAAACTTAACACACAGGAACTTACAGAAATGAAAATCTCCTCAATAAATCTTCACAATTACACCACAGACATCTTCACTACTAGGAGAGACACAACATCACTCTCTTGGTTGTTAGTAACTGTGGTGGAGCGTGAGATGAAGGAATGTGATATGGTGGTCGTGTATGATGCTGCTTATGGCCAAACAGGTGTGCTGGATGAATTACTGTTGCTACCAAATATACGACAGGTAAAATATCTCATTATATACTTCTATAGTATTGTTACCTTTTGTTATTGATGATATATATATATATGTATGTATGGTATGATGTTGTACAGTATATCTCTCAATGACAGGTGGTAGAGGTAGAGAGTGTAGCGGACCTTCTGGGTGTAGTATGGGTGTCAGCAGGGTGTCGTGGGTACTTAATGCTACTACACCAACCTGAGCTTCTGTTAGTGTATGTCGATCAGGGTGAGGAACATTGGCACTACCACGGCAGGTGAGGATAATCTCTCTCTCTCTCTCTCTCTCTCTCTCTCTCTCTCTCTCTCTCTCTCTCATTGCGATAATTGATAAAGCCATACTGGATAAAATACCCTACTCACATCTGTTCTGGTAAGGGGATCGATCCATGGACAAAGTGGTGAGAGGACGGTGATATCTGATGGTAAATGTTATATATACAGTATATGTGTGTCTGTTTGTCTGTTCCTGCAGGTACTTCTTCGTGGGACTGTCTCTTGATCAGCTGATGGCCCTGACCGTGTCTAAGAAGGGCAGGAAGACTGAACATATAACAGGTGCTGTGAAGGTAAGTGTGTGTGGGGGTGTGGGTGTGTGGGTGTGGGTGTTGTGTGTGTGGGGGTGTGGGTGTGTGTGTGTGTGTGTGTGTGGGGTGTGGGTGTGTGTGTGTGTGGGTGTGTGTGGGGTGTGGGTGTTTGTGTGTGAGGGGTGTGGGTGTGTGTGTGTGTGGGTGTGGGTGTTGGGTGTGTGTGGGTGTGTGGTGTGTGTGTGTGTGTGTGGGGGTGTGGGTGTTTGTGTGTGGGGGGGGGGTGTCCTATCTTCTATTCTTCCTGCTATTAACTCTCCTCCTCCTCCTCCCAGGCAGGCACGGAAGGACAGGAATGGAAGTTATACATGAACCAACTATTCTGGGGTGATGGTTTGATTCACGTAACTACTTGGCGAGGACACAGGTTCTCATCCCAGCAAGTCAGCCTCTACCCCGACAAACTAACAGATCTCAGAGGTGCTGTGCTAAAGGTAACACCAATCTATCTACGTAAAACGACTCACTGTGGCTCTGTGGTGATATTATTCCTCTCACAAGCAAATGTTCACGGGTTCGATTTTCAACCAAAGGAGGAGATAATGTACCTATCTATCTTCCATGGTGCTAGATGATGACCCTATCCCCTATCCCCTATCTCCTATCTCCTATCCCCTATCTCCTATCCGTCAGGTGGTTACGTTCGTGTGGGAGCCCAGCATCTTCTACTACAGGGCGGAGGACGGGACGGTCTTGTTCAGATACGGGACGGACATAATGGTCACTGAGGCCCTGGGTCAAGCTCTTAACTTTACCATCCAGTATGAGGAGCCTCCCAACGGTGTGGTATTGTCTGTCTCTCTGTCTCTTTCTGTCTCTCTTTATTTGTCTATCTCTCTGTTTATTTGTCTCCCGATCTCTGTTTTTTTCTGTCTGTTTGCTTGTTTGTCTGTCTGTCTGTTTCTCTTATCTCTGTCTCTCGTCTGTCTGTCTGTCTGTCTCTTATCTCTCTCTCTCTCTACATTAATCGCATGCCTCAGAAAGGTTAGAGTTAGACAGTGATAAAAACAGATTCTTTCTCCTTATCCCTAACTAAGACCTGTTAATTCACCGAAGCTTATTTTAAGCTTTACTCTTGATAACAGTTAAGCTTACAGGGAATCATCACCGTCTGTGTTATTTTATCATCCCAGCTTATTTAACCTGATGTATTAAACGCTACCTGGCGGAGTGTTCATGTATGTTCTCTTCCTTCAGGGGAGATGTGGGGAATAACCACAGAAAACGGAACCTTGACTGGATTACGGGGGAAACTATACAGAGATGAGGCGGACATAGGCATCGCTAATCTGTACATGACACTAAACCAGAGAGTCGGTACTGAATTCTCGGCTCCTTACGACACTGAGGTAATGTATAGATATAAATTTCTGGTCCTTTCGTGTGATAGAAATTTATATAATCATTGTGCACTGTATCCACTGCACTCTACACTGATTCATTCACTGTTTGACTTATTCATTTCCCCCGTTGGTCATCTCAGTCCAACTGTTTCCTGGTCCGCGCTGAGCCCCCACTCCCGCCGTGGCAGGCCCTCGCCTTCCCCTTCCATCCCTGGACCTGGCTGGCCGTCCTCGTGTGTCTGTTGCTCTCTGGTCCTGTGCTGCTGCTGGTGGCTCGTGGCAGCGCTAAGAGGTCTGTCTGTCTCCTGTACTTTTACTGATAATTACTACTATAAATGACCTCTTCGCTTTCCTATATCCCAGACTCACCATTCCTTTCTGTAAAGAAGGATATTAACAGTGACAACAAACCTTTAATAAACACAATCACACGATAAACTCATCCTCCACGATAACTTACTCCTCTTGTCTCCAGTGGCGAGGAGGTCCCCAGCCTGCAGACTTTAAGTGACTGCTACACCAACACCTTCGGTATGCACCTGAGGGTCACAGCCGTGCATCTACCACACAGGGCCAGCACGCGGGTACTGGTGAGCTTCCTGTGGGTGTACACCATCATCCTCACCATCGCCTATTGCACCAACCTGACGGCCTATATGTTGGTGAGCAAACAGCCTCGCACCATCAACACTATCAAGGAGCTTCACGACTCTGGCCTCAAAGTGTTTGGTTTAGGTGACCTGTTCAAGCGGGAACTGTCCGCCGCTAGTGACCCCTACCTGCAGGTTAGTGAATCACTTCTTGAGGCGTGATATATACATTATAACTTACAACACAACTCACAGCTCAAACTAGTAATAACCCGGAGTGTGTTCAGCCCGGAGTGTGTTCAGCCCAGAGTGTGTTCAGTCCAGAGTGTGTTCAGCCCAGAATGTGTTCAGTCGTAATTTGAACAATTACCGCCTAACCCATCAATTAAACGGTCAATAACTTGGTGATCTCCCTCTCCCTTCTTCAGGGTCTCTCTAAGACATTCCAGGTTCACTCTTCACCGCTGGAGATCTTCCCTAATGTACTGGCAGGTCGAGGGGCGCTGCTGGAGAACGAGGGACACCTGCTCTTCTCCGCCACCACTCGCTTCACCTCCAGGGGCACCTCTCGAGTCAGGATCATGAAGGTATTATACAGGTAACACACACACACTCACACTCACACTCACACTCACACACACACACACACACACACACACACACACACACACACACACACACACACACTCACACACACACACACACCTTCATTATACAACACCAACAGATAAATTAATGGTCTTCCAGGAATGTTTCGCGCCGTATAACATCGCTCTGGGTCTACAGTCCAACTCAGCCATCAAGAGGAGGCTGGACCACGTCATAGGCTGGCTACAACAAGCTGGACTCGTCAGGCGGTTCTTCAGTGATGGACTCAGACTTGCTGCTTCTACTGAGGTGAAGATTGAAGTCATTTTTCCAGGACTATATTAATTCTGAGAGAGAGAATACATCATACATCATACATTATAAATCATACATTAACCGTTCTTCTCTACAACAACAGCTCTTCAACTCTTAAAATGAGATAGAGATCAATCTTTAAACTCATCAATTGTGGTAAAACGTGTGAGATTGTTCCCCAGTTGTGTGAGAGAGAGAGAGAGAGAGAGACTCAATAATGTAAATAAACAATGCATCAATACAGTTCTCGTGTGTGGTAAGCATGTTCCAATATTGTGCCAAACAGCATAATGCGTATAATGTATATTTTCACCACCAGGAGTACGGAGGAGGCGCTGAAGAAGGGGAAGAGGTGACGGGGCCGAGGGGCGTGATTCCTCTCAGTTTGGACCACCTTCAGGGCATCTTTCTGGTCATTATAGGCGGCTGGCTCTGCTCAGGTCTGGTCTTCATCCTCGAAAAATGTCTCCTCCCCTACAGAAAGTAACAATGGTCGAGAAAAGAAGATAAAAATATTACCATTTAATTCCCAGATGATTCTTCTTCAATACCCTCATGTACGTAACTGTCTGTACGTGGCTGATCTACACTAGTCCGTTAACCAGCTACATTGTACGTGATAGGTTGAACGTAACTAGTCTACAACAGTCATTTAACCAATATATATAACATTTAATCACTCTATCTAACATTTCTTATTAGTTATTGTATTTTTTGATCAATTTTCCTTCGAGTTTTGAGGGTAAAGTTTTTCGGTTAGGTTAAGTTATTGTTTTTAAAGGCATAGCCTGGAGATGGTTAATAAATGTAAGTAAAAAATATAATGGCTTGTGATTCTCCTTTTAGTGAGCAGAACTTTTAGGGTTTTGATGAATTAACCTGTTACTGTTCGCTCCTCTGTTGGATAATTTAAGTACCTTTGTTATATCACCTTTGTTTATCCCTGACTTCCATTTATACACCTCTATCATATCGCCTCTCATTCTACGTCTCTCGAGGGAGTGCAAATTAATATGCTTTAACCTGTGTCTGGACTCAAGGTTCCTAATTCCCGGGATTAGTCTTGTCATTCCCCTCTGAATTCTTTCTCAGGATTCTATATTATCCAAATTAAGGTAGTCACTCTGCCTCATATGCAAATTTATTATTCTTTTTTTAGTGTTTGATCCGTTGTTTGTAATGAAAGAAAAATATCCTTAACTTGCAACATCACTTCGCCTTGTGTATCACCTCAACACAGGGTACATTCAATACGGCCTTAGCTGTCTTTAGATTCTTATCATGTCTTTAGTAACAATTCTATATTCATTGTTAGGCATTAATTGATTATGTTCATATGATTTTTATAACACAAATTATGGGATGATAAATCAAAATATTGACTGGTGTATTAAACAGTTTGTAGACACGATTGACGAGTGAATAATTAATTAACGTTTTAGAGTAAAAACTTGTCGTTCATAAGATCCATAATATACAACTATAATATATTAAATTAAAATACATATCAGAACATTATTTTCTTATATATGTTGAAATTAATGAAATTCATATTAGCCACTGGTGAAGATATCTCCAAGGTATCTTATCCTTATGCAAACGCAGCCTTTGTTTATCCCATGCAGTTTGTAATTGTGAGGCAGTGAGACGCCAACGTGAGGAACTTGCGGGTCACTCTACGATTTGAACCAGTGATTATGTCATAAACGTTGACCTAGATTAATTCACTAAACTGTGGAGTGACTGTGTGTGTGTGTTAGGTAAGTACTGTATCTACTGCTAGTGATTCTGCAAGGCTTAGATAGTAATTATGAGGTTATGAATCGTTTGGAGGAGTGGTTATAGGTAGCCAAGGAAACAAGAGACTCGGTGAGACAACTTCTAACTTTTCGTCAGGAGGAAATTGGGATGAAAACTGCTACTACTGTCCTAACCTAACCTAACCTAACCTAACCTAATCTAACCTAACCAGAGTTTTATCAATGAAATAAACACAAGGTTGTTATTGTTGTCATTTGAGTCTGCTGGTCTTTAACCTTTTAGTCATTAAGCTGTAGTAATGTTTTCTTTGTCGTAGTTCAGTCAACTCGTGGGATTCAGTTCCATGTCAATTCAACCCCAGATAACTCAACCCCCAGTCAATTCAACCCCAGTCAACTCAACCCCCAGTTAACTCAACCCCCAGTCAACTCAACCCCAAGTTAACTCAACCCCCAGTCAACTCAACCCCCAGTCAACTCAACCCCCAGTCAACTCAACCCCCAGTCAACTCAACCCCCAGTTAACTCAACCCCCAGTCAACTCAACCCCAAGTCAACTCAACCCCAGTTAATTCAACCCCTCATAAATTACACTAGATATCACCTGTCACAATCCTACAGTGTGTGTGGTGTCAGAGTGTGGTGCTAACCTTTTTTTATTTAATTTTTGTATGTGGCTTCCTAGTAGGGTATCCTGTGGCTGGTCAGACTGGAAGCTACGTGGCCCGGTGGTTAAGTTAGGTTCGATAAGTCATGTATTCTGCTATGCAAGAACTGTTAGGTTAGGTTTTTTATGTTCTTTTGTTTTTTCTTTTTTGGTTAGGTTAGGTTAGGTTAGGTTAGGTTAGGTTAGGTTAGGTTAGGTTAATCAAAGGAACAGCTCACATATAATATTTATTTTAGGATATTTACTTATATAGACAAATATTATTGATAAACTACCTGTTGTTTGATGGTAGAGACTACTGTATATTGAAAGAGTGAAGTACTGTACTATCACATGCATAGTTATGTTGTTTCTGGTCTTTTTTTATTTAATTTGTATTTTTTTTTACGAATTTTTATGGTTATTGATATTTTAGTTTGATCCTTTATTTCGTATTTTTGGTTTTGTAGTTTTTATTTTTATTTTTTAGTTATAGATAAAAATGTCAGCAACGTATCAGTGAACACAGCCGTAATGACCCAGGTGTTGGCGGCGGCAGGTGAACAAAATGAGCAGAGACGGCATTGATGACTCGTGATTCATGTGGAATATTTACGCGAAGACGGGCCAATGGGTGGACTAGCTTCAGTGAGGGATCTTCATGCACAGATTACGTTGCTGCTTGTGGTCATTCCTTAGATAAATTTCCTCGATGACGAAACGTTTAGGAGTCGGTGTTAATATTAAGTTAGTGAAGAGTGATGGGGGGTGATATATGGACGGGGCTGACGGCTGCTTATGTTAGCCCCAAGTTTAGTGTTTTGGACCGATTGAAATGTTTAACGAGGTATAAAAAATAGCAAGTAAAAACAGCTGTAATGTAAACAATGAAACCTGGCGTAGGTGTAATACTGTGGATGGAAATAGATGAATACACAAGACGAAACTACTTACCAAAATTAAAATACAAACATGGTATAATCTTCTGCCACGTAAACTAACTAGTGTAGGTGGATGGAATTTGATATTTTTTTTTTTACTCTAAACCTCGAGTAAATTTTTATGCCACTTTTTAATACTGTAACATGTCTTCAGGATTTGTTGATTACATCGAGGTGCGTCTGGTAAGTGACAACCTCTGTGAGTACGGGAAGTGACAACCTCTCTGCAGTTAAGACCAGCTGAGAGAAACTTGAGGAAGACTTACCACAGACGTCACACACACGACGTCTTCAGTTATGTATCCAAGGTTTGTGTCGGATCATTTAACACTCTGTTCACCTTTACTTTTTACCTGTGATATAAAATGATTATCTGTGGGATAGTTTCTTTTTTAACTACAGTACTAAATTGGTGTCAAGGGAACAATTAAATTTAGTCAAAGTTTCATATATTGTAATGTATTGTGGGGAGGGTAGTGGAAGGTAGGGATGGAGTGGAGGGTCGGGAGGGAGTGGTAGGTATGGAGGGAGGGCGTGGAGGGTCGGTAGGGAGTGGTAGGTATGGAGGGAGGGAGTGGAGGGTCGGGAGGGAGTGGTAGGTATGGAGGTAGGTATGGAGGGAGGGAGTGGTAGGTATGGGGGGAGGGAGTGGAGGGTCGGGAGGGAGTGTAAGCTTGAACCTCAGTCACAACCATCATTATCGTCGTCTCTCACCACGCATGGGGCTAATTGCATGCCTGTGTCTGAGGTCATTGCTCGTTTTCTATCCCACCTCACTCTGTAGTCACGATGATTTATGGACTGGTTGTACATACAAGTTCTAACCTCACGTGTGTGGAGACAGGAGATGTGTCTGATCGTTGCCAGTCTTCTCCTTATGATTACTATAAAATGTGGCCGTCGAATAGGTGAACTTTGACCCGGTATAGGTGAAGGAAGATTATCTGTCCCAGTGGCAAGATTTGAGGATAAAAACTCACGAAACTCCTTTATTTTGGCTTTGACTCTGGACTTGTTTATCATACACACAAGTTGTTCTAACTGTGGGGGCGTAATACCTAAAGAGATGTGTTGTTCCTTAATGATGCTAATGGTTTCTGGATCTCGTTACCACTGGAGCACCTTGAAACACTAGTCCTTTGGTTCTTATCAGGAATAGATTCCACTTCAGAAATTCTCGCCAGCTTGTTGTTGCCTTTTTAAGAAACAGATAGCAACAGATTTGTATATTCGTATATAATCATTAATACATGGAGAACCAATCACAACCTCTGATTCTCTTATCAATACTAGAGCCGACCAATAATATACCTGCATCGATCGTCTTCTTGACTGAGGATTGTCTGAGTGTTTATCTGAACTGTATCCTCGCTCTCAGTTCAAGGTGTCTCAAGTTTTCACACTAGTTCTGGAGGTCTTGCTGTAGTCGAGGCTCTTGATACCTTGATCATGTACACTTTGTCCTGATACTTG